TATCACGTCAGTTTTATAAATTTGTCATTGTAGATATTACATCAGTGTAAATTGCCATTGTAAATATCACGTTAGTGTTTATCGTCATTGTAGATATCACGTCAGGATTTATTGTCATTGTAGATATCACGTAAGTGTTTAATTTCATTGTAGATATCACGTCAGTGTTTATCGTCATTGTAGATATCACGTCAGTGTTTATTGTCATTGTAAATATCACGTAAGTGTTTATTTTCATTGTAGATATCACGTCAGTGTTTATCGTCATTGTAGATATCACGTCAGTGTTTATTTTCATTGTAGATATCACGTTAGTGTTTATCGTCATTGTAGATATCACGCCAGTGTTTATTGTCATTGTAGATATCACGTAGGTGTTTATTTTCATTGTAGATATCACGTCAGTGTTTTTCGTCATTGTAGATACCACGTCAGTGTTTATTTTCATTTTAGATATCACGTCAGTGTTTATTTTCATTATAGATATCACGTCAGTGTTTATTGTCATTGTAGATATCATGTCAGTGTTTATTGTCAATGTAGATATCATGTCAGTGTTTATTTTCATTGTAGATATCACGTCAGTGTTTATTGTCATTGTAGATATCATGTCAGTGTTATTTGCTATTGAAGATATCACGTCAGTTTTTATTGTCATTCTGGATATTACGTCAGTGTTATTTGTCTTTGTAAATATCAAGTCAGTTTTAATTGTCACTTTAGTTTTCACGTTAGTGTAAATTGTCACTTTAGATATCACGACAATGTAAATTGCCCAATCATGTGAGCTTGTCTATGATGTTTTTTGTAATGCTTGCATCATTTTGGCTTCCAGAGAATGGAAGCCCGTGTCCAAAATGTAGCCATAAGGTAGAGTTATGTTCATGAATTTAAGATAATTACGCTCCTTCTGGCCAACGTTAGATATTCTCTGAAGATTGTGGTCAGCACTTTTTTTTTAATATAAATGTATGTGCCATCTATTAAGGCAGTCACCTTGTCTCCAAGGAATGTTTCTGAGACTATAATGTATGGTGTGAAAGAATCTGTTCACTACTCAAATGGTCAGGACCAAGGAACACTGAAAATATAGATTTATTCAATGTTTGTACTACAGAATGAAAGGTTTTTGAAATACTAGACAGGGAAATGCCAAAAAGAGCGCAACACTCTTAATTACAAGAGATATCAGTTTTCATCTTAACCTAAAACAGTAAAAGAGCATATACTGAAGAAGAAAGAAATGTACGAATGGATTTTGATAAACTGTTCTTTGAGCAACCTGTCCAAGCTTTGCAACCAGGGTCATCCAATAGACAAAAAATGAGAGTGAAGGCTGATTGATTCTTTGATAAGATGAACGACACTTCTAAAAAGTCATCAATTATTTCAGATGACCTACTTTATGATTGAAAATTCAAAGACTCTCTACCTTCTAGGATGACCTCTGAACATGGTTTCAGGTAATTGCCTATGGGTGAAATGATCATACATGTGATGACACAGAACACCACAATCTGTGTGTGAAAATTAATTGATGCCTGGCACGTATTTGCAGAAGTGTGGATTTGCTTCACTTTGGATTTAAAAGGTTAAAACAAAGACAACATTTTTTTATGTGAACAGGACCCGTAAAACAGCCCTTGGTTGTTAAAAGAGTTTCGTTTTCAACACGTTCTGTTTCAGCTTCTCTTTTGCGCATATACCTTATGTAGCACTTCGGACAAATACTACCATCTTCATTTGAGCAATATATGCCACTTTTAAGCAGTATATTCAAAAGCCATTTATATTAATTTTTTTTTATTAATCTCGTGTACTTTTACCTTTATGGGATTTCGCGAAGATACGATGTCGACCTTCACCAATACATTAAATATTTTACTCTTCATTATGAGATGAATATTAACAAATGAGTATAAAAAATACCCCCTAAAATAAATGTAAAAACGAAAGTGACCAGTAGGCTCGAGTAGGCACGTACCTACACATAAGTTAGCCGAGTTTTTATTTTTTTATAAAATTGAAAAAGAAAAATATGTGTTTTCACTACAATGAAAGATTATATTATATCCATGATGTTTTGTATATATGTCTAGTACAAAATATGGAAAATCTCGTTTTTACCACATACAAAAAGAACTTGTAACACATTGGTGCAATACAACTTTCAAGCTGACATTAAACAATGATATTACCACGACCAACAGTGAACAAGTTTGTGGTCCGGAACATTCGAATCAAAAGTTCAGAGACCCGATCTGAGGATCCCCCTCGTAGTGAAACTGTCTCGTCTTGCGAAGCTACTCAAAATTCTTAAATTTCCATGCCCCACATACCCTGATGTGGGACGTATATGATATCAGTCTGAGCATAGGGACCTGAGAATTTGTTACAGACATATTTGGACCTAAACTAAGGTGTTCAGAGTAATTTTACACGTTTTGGGGGTTTAGGTAAAAATGCCATCCCAGATTTGTATATATCATCATTGGGGGGCGGCATTTTACCAAAAATGTATCCAAACCCCCAAAACATGTAAAATTTACTGCCGAGTAAATATACTATATAGTTGATATACTTGAAAAATTTACAGCATTCAAAAAAAAATCCCGATGTTTATGCTGGAATCAAAATCTGCAGTATGATTAGAACCGTTTTGCCGAGTATAGCAGGCAATTTTCCCGTAGTTTGCCAGAATGTACGTTGATTTTCAAAGATGTCCCCCAACCCTTTGCTGTTTTAATTTGTTTGGGGTTTATATTATCTTTGTTTGTAGTCCATTTTCCCTAAATGTGAATTTTGTAAAAGTTTACGGTCCTCAATGTCAATATCTATTTGAATTATTACGTGATTCTGCCAAACCATGACACAAGTATAAATGTGACATTGTATACTGTACATGTATGTGCACGTCGGCGAGGTGATGAAGTTGCTGTTGTTTGTTACCCGAAAAAAAGAACAAATGTCGTCTCTATCATCTTTAACGAATCTCTTCATTCTGGCACAGTTCCCTCTGATTTGAAGTTAGCGCATGTCTCTCCTGTCTATAAAAAGGGCTCTAAATTGAATCCAGAAAATTACAGGCCAATCTCTCTCACATGCATTTGTAGCAAACTTCTAGAACACATAGTGGTCAGTAACATCATGAACCACGCTGACAAACATAACATCCTTTACTCACTCAAACACGGTTTTCGAAGGTCAGTATCATGTGAGAGTCAGCTCATTTAATTTGTTGATGATGTCAGCTCCAACATTGACAAGGGAAAACAAACCGACGTCTTAATTATGGATTTTTCCAAAGCATTTGACAAAGTTAGTCATTCGCTTCTTTGTCACAAGCTTCGTCATTATGGTGTAAATGACAAGGTTAACACCTGGATAGAAAACTTCCTGGATAATAGGAAGCAGGCTGTCATCGTTGAAGGGGGAAAATATAGCATTGTCGATGTTAAGTCTGGTGTCCCTCAAGGCTCGGTTATTGGTCCATCCCTCTTTCTATTTTATATAAACGACATTCCTGTTGGCCTCCATTCCACTGTACGTATTTGCAGATGACACCATTGTCTATCTAACTATCAAATCACCATCTGATGCCCAGCTATTGCAACAAGATTTAGACAAACTAGCTCTATGGGAGATAGCATAGGAAATGTCCTTCCATACTGACAAATGTAACGTCCTTTCCATCACCAACAACAAACATCCACAACATCACAAATACATGATACACGAAAAGGAACTAAAACACGTAGACAAAGCAAAATATTTAGGTGTCACTATATACAGTCAAATCTGAAGTGGGAATGTCACATAAACAACATCTGTGGGAAAGCCAACTCCACCTTAGGCTTTCTCCTTTATTATTTTTGAAAGATCTTTTGCCACAATGCATAGAATAGAATATTCTCAGGCGAAATCTAAAGATAAACTCTACATCTGTCAAGGAGCAGGCATATAAAACACTTGTCAGACAAACCCTAGAATATGCCTGCTCACTTTGGGACCCTTATACTAAAACAGACATAAACAAAATAGAAATGGTGCAGCGTAAAGAAGCCAGATTAGTCACCAACAAATTTAGAAACACCTCCAGTGTTGGTGACATGCTTCAACACCTTAACTGGCAATCACTCTAAGACAGAAGGAGAGTCATGCGACACTACACAAAACTATACACGACAAAGTCAACATAACTGAAGACCAACTCATGCCTCAATCCCGCCACACAAGACACGCACACCGGAACTCATATCGAACACTCTCATGTAGAACACAGGTACGACAACAATCCTTTCCCCCTCGTACCATAGTAGACTGGAATAACCTGCCTCCAGATATAACCTCCATTACCTCTTCTGACTGCTTTAAACTGTCCCTAAACAAAAAACAATTCTAACTCAAATACTTTATAAATATTCCCTTTCACTATCTTTTATCTTTTCTTCTCTTGGCCTAGCAACCACTATCACATGACATATTACTATGAAGATGTTGATGTAGATATCCGGAGCTGCCCTAGTCCAATTTCCCAATTATCTACCCCCAAAAACGAAATATAAACTGATTCGACCTTCACTTCATCCAGTAAGACTGAGTCAATATACAATGTATCTCCATATTGTCATCAGTATCTTTTAACATATCATTTTGTTAAATATACCCTTTTTAATTAGTGGAAATAAAATAGATTCCTATCTACTTTGGCGTGTAGAAGAGCTAATATACAATCATTTTTCTTCTAACGTGACGACCTTGAGATTTTTCAAACCGAAAGTACAAATGTGGGTAATTTTACGAAATGTAAAAAAATATCAATCGAGCGAAATATCTTTTCAAATTGATATTATCAATAATTTCAACATCACAAAAGAAACATTGAGTTTACAAATAGTTAATTTTATTAATGAATGGCTATTGTCGGAATGTTAATTATTATCATCAGAGTGATAAACGTGGAATATTCACCACGTAACAGAAATCGTTTCGTAATATACATGTACCCACTTGTAAACCGAAAGTGGAAAGTCGGAAATTACTAAAGGCAGGTAAGTTTTGACTTTATTTAAATAACTTGCTGGCTGTCATTTATTTCGTTTGTTTGTCCGTCTGATGAAGAAATGTTAACAACTTCAATTATTGGTTACTTGTTAATGACATTCCATGGTTACCCAAACGTCGTTTTGATACTTGAATGCTTCCGGCACTTGCATTGCGGACTGTCTGATTGCCTCGCAGATACACATATAGTTACAATTTCTCTGATTGCTTTTTGTGATCTGTATCGTATGTCACTGATTTTAATTTTACGGCTCTTAGGCATTTTTCACAAAAAATTACCAGAACATGCTATTTTAAGTAAGAATGGATCGAGTGACCAGTTTCTAAGCCCGTAATTAAGCCGGTAATGTCGAATAAACTTAAGAGCAAAAATAAACAGAGCATGTGTGCTTCACGAATCAATTACAGGGGTTATGTTAGGACCTATATATACTGATGTACTAAAAAAGTATCATTTGATTTCTAGGGGTTTATGTCAACACTCAGAAAAGTTACCGGCAAGACGATTCATTCAACCCCCCCTCCCAAAAGACCCAAAATATCAAAATATACCAAAAAACATTACCCAAAAATGCACTCTCAAACACCTCCAAAACTGAAAAGTTTTATTGAAGTGCTTGTTATTTCATGTGTAATTTCAAATTCATTGAAAATTAAATTGTGCTCTGCATTTGTTTACCAGTACATTATGCCATTACAATATAAAGAGAAGCAAACTGTGAACTCCCAAGATGTCACGTAAATGTATCAAAATTCATATAAAATCAATTATGAAAATACTACCTGGATAAATGTTTGTCTTAGAATGAATCATAAATATGATGCCCAAGCAATGTCTGTAGGATAATAGAAAATGTTAGGGTGAAATTAGACTGTTCTACTACAGACCAGTCATTTAAAAAGATGCACGCATTCTGTACAAAATATATTCTATGGAAATAAAATTATAATATCCCACTGCATAAAATAATTTACTGTTTTCATACGGTGATTTTAGTCCATGTAAAATGATACCTGCACATGAGATGGTACATACTGCTGGCCTGTGGTACAGGTCTATAATTTCACGATAGATCAAACTGACAGGTGTTGTGGTATGGGGTTTGTCCACATATTGTACTGGTATTTTATAATCATTTGTTACAATTGAAGGAATCTTGCTGAATTTGGTTACTTTAATGGAGATTCGAAATAAAAAAATTGGTTTCAGTTTAATTACTTTACATCATTTTTTTTAAGTTTGTGAAAGTCTCTAAACTTAAAAGTCTAACCAACTGACCCAAAACAAATGCTGCAGCTCAAAAAGTTGGACCTTCTTTTGAACAAATAAACATGTTAAAGCCTGTAATCATAATTTGTTTCAAATATTAACATTCATTAACAACTTTTAACATAAGTGTCTTTGAGCGTAATTTGGGGTGTTTTGGGGTCGTTTTGAGTGTTTTAGGGTTATTATCACACTAAAAATTACCACCCTTAATGATGAAATGTATAAACCAAGGTGGAAAGTTTTCTCACCTCATGAAAAATATCTGTGTATTCTGCCATACTCAGGAAATATATACATTGTTAATGTATGTCATCATTTCAACAGAAACAACAAAATAGATTTCATGTTCATGTACAGGGATTTATCAGGATATGTTTTGAGTCAATTAAAAGGATCCATTTTCAAAAAAAAAGATGTGTGATTTTTTCCAAATTTGCCTCTTTAAAATTCCAGAAATGGTTAATTAAAAAAAAAGAAAAATCTATGCATGCAAAATGCTCCCAATATGATAAAGTTCTCAAAATGTATATTATAAGTTGGAAAGATTAACGTAATTAGTGTTATTGCATGATTTCAGAATTGTTATATCATGACAGTCTGCGACGATAGGCACTAGTCCGATGCCCATGATGACTAGTAAATTTAAGTCTGGACTAGTATTGAAAATATTCAACTAGTCCGACTGGACTAGTGGCAATTTTCCTCCAAAATAATGGAAATGTTATTAATTGTATACATTTTGCATAATAAGGCTTGTCACAAGTTTTAATCCTATCGTAAAATACGGTATTCGTCAAAGCGTTCAAAATTGAAGCGTTTCGATGAGCGAGACTGGGTTCCGGATTTTCCTAGTTACCAAACTTTACTTCTGGTTTATAACCACGTGAAACCAACCATGGTGATTTTGCTAACCTGGAGGAAAGGTTCAAAACCAGCTAAGCCTGTCTGTGAACAGACAGGAAAAGGTGCTCTAACACGAAGCCAAAATTTACGGTTCTGGCTAGTACTTAACGGCTAGATGGAAACAAGAGTAATACTGTATTAAAGATAATTGGCGATCACGTTCTGTGCTCCTTTTCTATAGTTATTGATAGACATTTTGTTTTGATTTCTAACAGTTTTTCAATTTTGATCACAATTTACACTTAATGCTGGCCTAACAAATTCACAGTCGGGCTATTAAAATTCTGGGTTCACTAAACCAAATGAATAGTGAGGAAAAAAGTTAACGTCACAGACTGTTATGATCATCCAAATTTCCCAAATTGATGCCGATATCAATGATTTTGTTTCGCAATTTCATCCCATGGTCAGTTTCTTAAAACCCAATATGAAAACCCCAAGTATTTTATAATTCAAATAGAAATAATAAAATAAATTCCAAAAAAAAAAGCTTAGTCAAAAAATAAAATATATTATTGTCTTGTCAGGTTTTTATTGTACATTTGGGTTACCTAAATGTAATAAATTTGCAAAAAAATGATTTTACAGAAATAACTTTAAAAAGTCATTGAGAAGTTGTTTTCCTGGTTATCATTTTAGTAAGATTCAGTGTTTATATCATTTTCAGGTGTGCAGACTTTTGTTAGAGATCTAGGTCAAACCACACAGATAACCAGGCTAGCTACTGAGGGACCCAGGTCAACCTTACCATCAGTCACAATGGGAGCCATGTCAGCCATACAGGTCTCCAAACCAAGAACCAGATAAACTACTTAAAAAACTGAATTAATCACACAGAGAACTAGGTCAGCAAGAGACAGCAATACATAGAATCAAAGTCAGCCACATAGAAAACTAGGTCATTCATTAAGAACCAGATAAGCTACTCAAAAAACCGAATTGACCTCACAGAGAACTAGGTCAGTAATAGACAGCCACACAGAGTTAAAGTCAGCCATTTAGAAAACTAGCCACAATTGGCCACAAGGAAACCCACTCAGCCATATGAAGAACCAGGTCGGCCACAAGGAGAACCAGGTCAGACCGACAGAGAACCACGATTATGACTTGAATTGGTGATTCCATTTGTCATAACGGTGATATACAACCTGTATAATGGCCAGTCCTGGTGATGATAATGGTAAGTTTTTAAATAGTTTTGTTATCATGATCGAGTAGTCATTCCATATCATACTGTGGAATTTGAAACTCATTATTGTGTAATTTTGCGAAATACTTTCAATTTTTAATTCAACTTGATGGGTCAATAAGATAATTGATCTGTTTACAACTAAGTAATCTTAAGCCAATTAAGTTACAAGATTTCAAGATGTTTATATACACTCAGCCACACTACAGTGGCATTAAAGGGACCTGGCAAGGAGTCAAGGGGGATATACGGAAATTTTAAAGAGATCCAGAAGATGAAGGTTACAGGAAAATTGTAAAGGAAAATGAAAGAAGACATATTACTTGATGGTTTAATTGTGGCGAAGAGTCTGGTAGGATAAAGGGAAATTGTACAGGGCAGGGATTAAGTAGCTATAGGTAAACAGATAATTTGTTGTATCCAAGATGTTAGAGGGAAATGAAGGGACAGAGATATGTTATGATCAATACAGAGATATCGCAGGGGGCAGGGACTAAAGAGGGTAGCAATTTGGTAGCAGACAGCTGAGATAAAGATGCACTATTACCTCTAACAAAGACAGATTGGGGTCCATTCTGTAATCGGTTGTGAAAAAGTATGCGATCACCTGCCTTACAATATAGGTTTTCTCTGGGTAGTTGGTTTTCTCTGGGTAGTCCATTTCCTTCCTACAGGAGATTGAGGACATGGGTACAGGAAGTTAAAGGGAAATTGTACAGAACATGGACCCAGAACATATCAGGAAGATTGTTTGGGACACCAGGGGTCAAGAATGTTAAAGGGAAACACCCTGAGGGGTCAAGGGTGAAATAGGGGGACACCAGGGGTCAAGGGTGTTATAGGAGAATACCAGTAGTCAAGGGTGTTATAGGGGGACACCAGGGGTCAAAGGTGTTATAGGAAGACAGCGGGGTCAAGGGTGTTATAGAGGAACACAAGGGCTAAAGGGTGTTATAGAGGGACACCAGGGGTCAAGGGTGTTATAGGGGGACACAAGGGGTCAAGGGTGCCAAAAGGGGGCACCTGGGGTCATGGGTGTTATAGAGGGACACCAGGGGTCAAAGGTGTTACAGGGGAATTGTGGGGCCCAGGGTTCAGAATACATGTTCCACAAATTTTAAGGGACAAACAGGGATATAAGTCTAGTATGTTATTGAGAAGTAACAGGGAAATTTAAGAGTACAAGGATCCTTGGATAATATAATCATATCACATGCATTTGTTTGTTTTTGTGTCCAAATAGTTTCTGGGTCTGGACTATTTCATGTAAGAACATGATACTTGGTATGTAAGTACATCTCGGAAAGACCAAACAAATTTAAATAATAGTGTTCTACTGACCTAAAATTTTGAGCAATTGTGCTGGTTTTTTTATTGGATCATCAATCTTAGTGTATAAACTTGATCAAATATTTAAGCTCTCACCTGATTTGGAAGCGAAGCAGGGTTTCAATGAAGCAACTTCTTCCAGTTTCTTATGATTTTTTAAGGTAACCATCATGAGAAGGAAAGTGTCATGGTCATTTACCAACTTGATGAAAACAATGCTCCTGAAATTGATATTCAGAAACGTGAAGAAGGTAAGCATAGGTGAAAACAATGAAAAAGTAAGCATCAGCGTATGCAATGAAGGAGGTAAACATCAGTGTATACACTGATGTTTGCCACCTTCATTGTCTACACTGATGTTTACCACCTTCATTGCATGCACTGACGTTTACCTCCTTTATTGTATACACTGATGGTTACCTCCTTCATTGCATACACTGACGTTTACCCCCTTCATTGTATACAATGATGTTTACCTCCTTCAATGTATACACTGACGTTTACCCCCTTCATTGCATACACTGATGTTTAACACCTTCATTGTATACAATGATGTTTACCTCCTTCGTTGTATACACTGATGGTTACCTCCTTCATTGGATACACTGATGTTTGCCACCTTCATTGTCTACACTGATGTTTACCGCCTTCATTGTATACAATGAAGGAGGTAAACATCAGTGTATACAATGAAGGAGATAAACATCAGTGTGTACAATGAAGGAGGTAAACGTCAGTGTATGCAATGAAGGTGGTAAACGTCAGTGTATACAATGAAGGTGGTAAACATCAGTGTATACAATGAAGGTGGTAAACATCAGTGTATACAATGAAGGAGGTAAACATCAGTATAAAAAATGTATAAGGTAAACGTCAGTGTATACAATGAAGGAGGTAAACATCAGTGTATACATTTTACAAAACTGCCCCATACTGTGAATGTAAACAAGCAAGCTGTGTGACTCAGCTTCCTTTGTCAAGGGAGGGATACATTTTGTTTTTGTGAGAAGCTTAAGATTATCAAAGAAACGTTTCTTTTAAATTTAAGTCCCAGATCAACTAAAATAAAACCCTATCTCATGATGAGAATGTTCCGCTGAACTTACCGTAAAGGTGACTTGAAAAAGTGTTTGTTACATGTAGTTGGTCAAATGTTGATTTCATTAGAAATAAACATCCTATATTAAGCTTGGCGTCAGTGTTTATTGTTAATCACCTGCTGAATGGAGAAACCCCTTTGTTTATGAAGGGGGACTGTACATGACGCTTGTGGTGGTTTCAGACCCTAAATTGGAGAGATACATGTACTTAGGGTCTTTCACCAAAGTGGGCTGTGCCAAGTTGTTGCTTTTACCAGCTATACAAAAACTTCACTGAACTTGATCAGAATTAACGGTTAGGCTCCGGCAGCATGAAGGATCATACTCTTTGGTTCCTATTATTTCTCATATATTTATGATAAATCAAGAAATCATGAGCTAGGCACCTTGCAGCATTTAATTGTACAGGCAGACACAAAAACAATTTTGTATAGCATTAATGAAAATGTTTGAAAAATAATTAACTCTGGCTGAAGACCTGCATTGGATTTTTTCCCCTAATATTTTCTCAACCTCATAATATATTCCAGCATAATACATGTTCATGATACAAGCATTCTGTTGTAGACACCAAGTAAATACATACATGTACAAAATTGTAGATATGGCTTTTAATAAGCAGACAGTTCTTAATATATATATGTACCTGTAGAGTTTGGTCTATCAACCCTAGGTGCAGAGACCAGAGATGGGAGAGTACAGAATCCAGCAAACTCTTCTGGGACAGGTAAATATTGTTTGCTTATACACAGAAACTATGTAAAGAGTAAAAATCTGTGTGAAGGTACACAGGACTCTGAGACAAGTCAACCATGGCCAAAAAAGACTAGTCAATGTCATTTATAGCACAGGACACAGGGACATGTTAATATCATTGTTAGTCTACACAAGACACAGGGACATGTTAATATTATTGTTAGTCTACACGAGACACATGGACATGTTAATATCATTGTTAGTCTACACCAGACACAGGGACATGTTAATGCCATTGTTAGTCTCACCTGACACATGGACATGTTAATGTCATTGTTAGTCTACACCAGACACAGGGACATGTTAATGCCATTGTTAGTCTACACGAGACACATGGACATGTTCATGCCATTGTTAGTCTCACCAGACACAGGGGCATGTTAATATCATTGTTAGTCTACACGAGACACATGGACATGTTCATGCCATTGTAAGTCTCACTAGACACAGGGGCATGTTAATATCATTGTTAGTCTACACGAGACACAGGGGCATGTTAATATCATTGTTAGTCTACACGAGACACAGGGACATGTTAATATCATTATTAGTCTACACGAGACACATGGACATGTTAATATCATTGTTAGTCTACACAAGACACAGGGGCATGTTGATATGATAGGTAGTCTATACAAGTCACAGGGACATGTTCTTATCATTGTTTGTCTCACCAGACACATGGACATGTTCTTATCATTGGTAGTCTACATGATACACAGGGACATGTTAATATTATTGTTCCCCTATACAATCAATTATCCATGTGTGATGTATCGAGACAAAGATTTCAAATTTTCAAAGTTTAAATTCTATAAGTCTCTGACAAGTTAGTGCAGATAACTTGGTCTCTGACAAATAAATGCAGGAAGTTTATCATTAGACTATTTTAACTGTTAATTATAATTTAATGCAGTTAATTCTGTCCTTGGAAGACATCCCCTGGTGTAATTATGTTCAAGTAGCCCATAATAGTATTAAAGACGTTCTTTTGTACCGTAGGCATGGTAGTCTAGTGGTAGGACGCCGGGCTCATGACCAAAGGGTTGCGGGTTTGAGTCATGGCAGGGCACTGTGTTGTATCTGTGAGCAAGATACGTAACGTCTTGTTCCAGTCTACTCAGCTGTAAATGAGTATGTGGTTGGGCAGTGCTAGAATCATTGAATGCTACCTGTTAGCGCCGAAATGGCAGCTCTGGCTGTATGCTCCCCAGGGAGTTGAGAAACGTATTGGCTAGTTGCAAAGGCCCTATAACCCCGGATAATAATTTGTGAACTGCTTTGAGACAACCTACGAACTAGGTTGTGATAAAGCGATAAATAAGAACCTGGAATCATTATTATTATATAAGCCTACAGAATGTATTTAATTAAGTGACCTCAAATTTAAGAGCAGAGAGTATTACAGCAGCTTCTTTGTTTCAGAAACACCTGACATAAGGCCTGACATTGAAGTAGATGGGACACTGTCAGGCCTTACATCTCGTACAGCTGACAAAAGTACAGACACTAGCTTTGATGGGGTGCATGCCTGGGGTTACAGGATGGGTGTGGCTGACAGTCTTCACCTCTGCTATCTTGAAGGTCCTGACTTTGTACAGATAGCTAACTCCTGTACCTACATAGAGGTCAACATCAACAATGAGCTTGTTCAAAATATCCGCAGCCAGGGATGTCTAAAAGGTATGAATAAAAAAAGGACTTTCATGTCTCACAGACATACAATGTTTATGCATTAATGTCTTAATGTGAATTTGGTGAATATATAATCATATGCTAAAAAAAGACCCTGAACATTTCTGTTTGTATATACTGGCTTATCGCAGCGAAAGCTGAAGTAAAGGTGGTGTACTGTTTGTCGATGAAGAAAAGCATTGGTTGAGTAGTGTTATTTTAAATGCACAAAGACTTTTATATTAATTTTACTTTTCCAGCTGAAGTAGCCAATGGTCAGTCACTGGTGACATTTAAGTGGGGTAGCTTGGAAAGGGAGAGAGAGTATATTCGATGTGGACTGAAGACAGAACTGCAACCTAAGCTTCTGGATAACTACCAGTGTCTCGAAAATGACGTTCTAGAATTACTCTTGCTTAACGTTGATGACAAAATCAAACTAATCCTAGAACATTTCTTAAGGGAGTATGAAGCTTCCCTTTTAAAGATAGTGGAGGGTTGTCTGGAGTTTGAGGTCCTAGTTCCTGATGTTGAAGCCAAGGACAGACTCTACAGCCCCGACAGCCTTAGTAGTATTGCTAAGTTCCTGGAGGATCTTCTGGTAACTAATACAATCAGAGAGAAGGCAGGCCATCACCAGGTGTCGTTCCAGGTCTCACCCCTGGTCAGTGACTGGTCACAGATGCAGCCATTTGATAAGCATATGTTTCAGTTTAACACAAACAGAACAAGGTTTGTTGTAATACATGTCTTTAATCAAAGGAATTCTATTGTGGTACATAATAAATGTTTTGTGGACATTATATGATGATTAATGGTGTATAACTGTAAATCTACTGAAATTCCATATCCAGTTTTGACCACATTGAAAAAGTTAACTAAAAAATTTCTTCATCAGACTAAGATAAGGTAGAATCTAATAACCTATACAGATGGAAAGATCCTAAAGTGCTTTATCAAAAGTGTGAATTTCATAACTCCAGTGTTGATAATTCTCCACTGGCCATGGGGAGGGGGTAACAATTCAACAACAATTAATAGAAAGGGCAATACCACTTTTGGGTTAATTGATTTCATTTTGCAAGGATATAATTTCAACTTGGTTAAAATGTTTGTCGTGGGATTGCATTTCGCAGTACGAAGGTTGAAACCCTAACAAAAGAGAGGGGAAACAAGTTGAACAGAGATTAGCAATTTTCCTCCAGGAACATAAGCCCTATTTGATTTATATTTCATTTATTTTTGTTTTGTTGCACCTCAAAACAAAGAAAACAATTGTACATACATATTACAATTCAAGTGACTGTTAAGACCCATCAGTCTCATGTTCATGTAGTATTGTAAAAGGTTGTTAGACACATGAATTATCAGTTCCAAAAAAAAAAAAAATGAATACTGGTTCTGCTTGTATTTCGGCAAAGATGCATTAAATGCTTTACAATGTATTATATATATTTTATTAATGTTTGAACTGGCATTATGATAAACAACAACAATCGTAATGATTTTATTATAAATGTTTCAGAGAATCCTTGCCCGCTCTGACAGAAGATACTTTGAGACAGTTAATACAAACAGTTGTATCACAGGAATTACAGGCAGGCTTGTCCAAAATGCAAGTATCTTTAGCTGATACAGTAGCAAGAGCTGTGTCAACTGAAATGCAGAAATTTAAGAAATTGGAACTAGAATTGTTTACAGATGAGGCTGAGACAGGGAGAACCTCTCCAGATCATCACAGTCCAGGCTCAGGGAATTCAGCTCTAGAGGGTCCCAGTCCAGGCCCAGGAAATTTAGCTCCAATGGGTCCCAGTCCAGGGCCAGGCAATGCAGCTCTAGGGGGTCCCAGTCCAGGCCCAGGAAATTCAGCTCTAGAGGGTCCCAGTCCAGGCCCAGGAAATTTAGCTCCAATGGGTCCCAGTCCAGGCCCAGGAAATTTAGCTCCAATGGGTCCCAGTCCAGGCCCAGGAAATTTAGCTCTAATGGGTCCCAGTCCAGGGCCAGGCACTTCAGCTCTAGGGGGTCCCAGTCCAAGGCCTGGACATTTAGCTCTTAGGGGGCCAGCTCTAGGGGGTCCTAGTCAGGGGTCAAAGAGTTGGTCTCCAGGTCATTCAAGTAAATGGCAAGGGGACTCAAGTACATCAATATTCCCACTTCATGGGTCAGTCAATACATATCAAGATACTAAACCACCAGTTTCACTGCATCAGGACCCAACAAGAGCTATAAAGCAAAGAGATACTAGTAAAGACCGTTTACAACATACTGGAATGAAACCAAGCTTTGCCAGCATCTTATTGGACCAGCAGGACAGGGAACATTTATGGTAAGTTATGAATTATCTTTCCATTATTATTTACAAGAATGTGCCAATTATTTTTTATTATGTTTTGATTACTATTTCATTAAAATGTAAGAACATATTTCAGGAACTGAAGCGAAATAACTAAGAGGCCTAGGGTGATGACAATTGGCGAGTAGCATACTGGGTTGAAGGACTACCAAGTGTGTTCGAATGAATGACCTTGACTTGTACTTGTAATAAAGGTGGCAGGGGTGAATTGCTTTAAAAATCTTTTAAACAACTTCTTGTGAATAATTAAAAACCCAGGGTGACAATATTTGGCCAGTAAGATGATGGAATGAATAATCTTGACTCATATTCAAGGTCATAGGGGTGAATTGCCTTAAAAACTTTCAAACCACTTCCTCTGAATAACCAAAAGGACCAGGGTATGATATTTGGCTGGTTACATGCTGTTTTGAAGGGTTACTAAGTTTGTTCACATAAATTACCTTGACTTATATTCAAGGTCACAGGGGTCAAATATTTAAAAAAAACTTTAAAACAACTTCTGAATAAACAGATATACCAGGGTTATGTTTGGCAAGTAGCATATGAAATGGTGCTAAGTGTGTTCAACAATATTCAAGGTCACAGGGGTCAAATATGTAAAACAGAAAATTTAAATGACATCCTCTAAATTAAAATCCAAAAAGGCTAGGATGATAATATTTGGCCAGTAGCATGCAGGGATCGATGAAGGGCTACCTAGTTTGCTTATATGAATAACCTTCAAGGTCACAGGGGTAAGTTATCTAAAAAACATATACTGTATAGCGGGTATAATTCGCTGGGTTTTAGTTTTGCTATATTAGCGCTTTGACAAATATCCGTGAATTCTAAACACCAACGAAATTATGGAAAATGTTAACCACTTTTACAGACCTTATCACAACATGTTGAAAACACTTATAACCCAACGATGTTATGCAAGCTTACATGAACTCAAATCAAATTATCACTGGACAACTTGGCAGTCCATGTAAAAACAAGACTCTGAATAACCAAAAAGCATATGGGGTGATATTTTGTCAATAGCATGCTCAGATGAAGAGCTATCAAGATTGTTTTCATGCGTAAGATCTTGACCTTCTTTCAAGTTCGCATATGCAGGTCTAATGTGTATAAACCTATAAATGACCTAATCTCAATAAACAAAACGTCTACACATGATGATATTTTGCAAGTTAAATGCTGAAATGAAGGGCAATAATCTTTGTTAAATTTTTCAAAGTCACAGGGGTCAAATGTGTTTAAATCTTTTAACAGGTTCTTTTGAAGGACATGTACATAGATCGATAGATACTGATATTCTGACTGCATGTAGCTATATTTTAGTAAACTTTAAAGGATACAAGTGTGAGATATATACCAGTTGAGCGATGCAGGCCCATTGGTCCTTTTGTTAATATCGTACATTGGTTTGATTGAAAGTGGATATTGGTTTTCATTGTGAGGCTTTATAATAGTGAACTAATGAGTCTGTGTAATGGTCTAAATGTGAGGTTCTGTAATGGGTTTATAATGTTAGGCTTTATCATGGTTTAATTGTGAGGTTGTATCATGGTTTGATTGTGAGGCTGTATAATGGTTTAATTGTAAGACTTTGTAATGGTTTAATTGTAAGACTGTGTAATGGTTTAATTGTAAGGCTGTGTAATGGTTTAATTGTGAGGCTGTGTAAAGGTTTAATTGTGAGGCTGTGTAATGGTTTAATTGTGAGGCTGTGTAATGGTTTAATTGTAAGGCTGTGTAATGGTTTAATTGTGAGGCTGTGTAATGGTTTAATTGTAAGGCTGTGTAATGGTTTAATTGTGAGGCTGTGTAATGGTTTAATTGTGAGGCTGTGTAAAGGTTTAATTGTATCACTGTGTAATGGTTTAACTGTGAGGCTTTGTAATGGTTTAATTGTGAGGCTGTGTAATGGTTTAATTGTGAGGCTGTGTAATGGTTTGACTGTGAGGCTGTGTAATGGTTTGACTGTGAGGCTGTGCAATGGTTTAATTGTAAGGCTGTATAATGGTTTAATTGTGAGGCTGTGTAATGGTTTGATTGTAAGGTTGTGTAGTGGTTTGTTTGTAAGGCTGTGTAATTGTTTAATTGTATGGATGAGTAATGGTTTAATTTTAAGGCTGTGTAATGGTTTAATTGTAACACTGTGTAATGGTTTAATTGTGAGGCTGTGTAATGGTTTAATTGTGAGTCTGTGTAATGGTTTAATTATAAGGCTGTGTAATGGTTTAATTTTTAGGCTGTGTGATGGTTTAATTGTGAGGCTGTGTAATGGTTTAATTTTAAGGCTGTTTGATGGTTTAATTGTGAGGCTGTGTAATGGTTTAATTGTGAGTCTGTGTAATGGTTTAATTATAAGGTTGTGTAATGGTTTAATGTTAAGGCTGTGTGATGGTTTAATTGTAACACTGTGTAATGGTTTAAATGTGAGGCTGTGTAATGGTTTAATTGTGAGTCTATGTAATGGTTTAATTGTGAGTCTGTACGTAATGGTTTAATTTTAATGCTGTGTAATGGTTTAATTTTTAGGCTGTGTGATGGTTTAATTATTTTTGTGAGGCTGTGTAATGGTTTAATTGTAAGGCTGTGTAATGGTTTAATTCTAAGGCTGTTTGCTGGTTAAATTGTGAGGCTGTGTAATGGTTTAATTTTAAGGCTGTGTAATGGTTTATTTTTAAGACTGTGTAATGGTTAAAATGTGAGGCTGTGCAATGGTTTAATTGTGAGTCTGTGTAATGGTTTAATGTGAGACTCTATATTGGTTTTATTGTGAGGCTGTAGCAGATCATCAATTGTAAGACTAATGGTTTAATTGTGAGGCTATATTGTGGTTTAATTGTATGGTTTTGAAATGGTTTAAATGTGAACTTGAATAATGGTTCATTTTTTGTAATTGTGCTGCTGTTTACTGGATTAATTTCATGAAATTAAGTACCCAACAATTATTTTTACCATGAATTACTAATTGCCATGAATATATATTCAGACACACAAAAAACTAAGTTGACCAGACTTCAACAACATGTCCAGACTGTGGCAGTTTTAATACCCATTTTATTTCAAACCTTCAAAACTAAGCATGTCCATGACTTTAGGTTTGTCTTATGCTTATTCAACTTATCTATAGACCAAATGTCTCCAGTACCTGTATAGAAGTAGCCACTAGTCACAAAAGTTTGCCTAGACGCTGTTGTGCAAAATTTAATCCCTGCGAAACAGTTGCAAGAGTTACAACTGCAAAGTATTAGCCCTGTGAAGTAAAACAACTTTTAATGGCTTGATTGTGAGACAGTAAAATTCTCTAATTGTGAGACTGTATAATGGTTTAATTTTGATAATTGTGGGTATGTTCAATGATTTAATTGCAAGTCTGTTTGATAATTGAATTACATTTTTTGTCTAATAACAAACTGGTGAGGTGTTTTTTAGGCCTGATCAAGCAGAGAGGGAAACAGCTGAGGAGACTTTTCATTTAAAAGGTCAGTTTGTGTCACACTATAATCACTAACACAGGATCAGGACCAGTTACCCACAACAGACATCCATCACTTACAACATTTATCACTCATCTATAACAAACATCAGTCACCTACAACAGACATCAGTCACCTACAACAGACATCAGTCACCTACAACAGACATCCATCACTCACAACATTTATCACTCATCTATAACAAACATCAGTCACCTACAACAGACATCAGTCACCTACAACAGACATCCATCACTTACAACATTTATCACTCATCTATAACAAACATCAGTCACCTACAACAGACATCAGTCACCTACAACAGACATCAGTCACCTACAACAGACATCCATCACTCACAACATTTATCACTCATCTATAACAAACATCAGTCACCTACAACAGACATCAGTCACCTACAACAGACATCCATCACTTACAACATTTATCACTCATCTATAACAAACATCAGTCACCTACAACAGACATCAGTCACCTACAACAGACATCAGTCACCTACAACAGACATCCATCACCTACAACATATATCAATCATCTATAACAAACATCAGTCACCTACAACAGACATCAGTCACCTACAACAGACATCCATCACTTACAACATTTATCACTCATCTATAACAAACATCAGTCACCTACAACAGACATCAGTCACATACAACAGACATCAGTCACCTACAACAGACATCCATCACCTACAACATATATCAATCATCTATAACAAACATCAGTCACCTACAACAGACATCAGTCACCTACAACAGACATCAGTCACCTACAACAGACATCAGTCACCTACAACAGACATCAGTCACCTACAACAGACATCAGTCACCTACAACAGACATCAGTCACCTACAACAGACATCAGTCACCTACAACAGACATCAGTCACCTACAACAGACATCAGTCACCTACAACAGACATCAGTCACCTACAACAGACATCAGTCACCTACAACAGACATCAGTCACCTACAACAGACATCAGTCACCTACAACAGACATCAGTCACCTACAACAGACATCAGTCACCTACAACAGACATCAGTCACCTACAACAGACATCAGTCACCTACAACAGACATCAGTCACCTACAACAGACATCAGTCACCTACAACAGACATCAGTCACCTACAACAGACATCAGTCACCTACAACAGACATCAGTCACCTACAACAGACATCAGTCACCTACAACAGACATCAGTCACCTACAACAGACATCAGTCACCTACAACAGACATCAGTCACCTACAACAGACATCAGTCACCTACAACAGACATCAGTCACCTACAACAGACATCAGTCACCTACAACAGACATCAGTCACCTACAACAGACATCAGTCACCTACAACAGACATCAGTCACCTACAACAGACATCAGTCACCTACAACAGACATCAGTCACCTACAACAGACATCAGTCACCTACAACAGACATCAGTCACCTACAACAGACATCAGTCACCTACAACAGACATCAGTCACCTACAACAGACATCAGTCACCTACAACAGACATCAGTCACCTACAACAGACATCAGTCACCTACAACAGACATCAGTCACCTACAACAGACATCAGTCACCTACAACAGACATCAGTCACCTACAACAGACATCAGTCACCTACAACAGACATCAGTCACCTACAACAGACATCAGTCACCTACAACAGACATCAGTCACCTACAACAGACATCAGTCACCTACAACAGACATCAGTCACCTACAACAGACATCAGTCACCTACAACAGACATCAGTCACCTACAACAGACATCAGTCACCTACAACAGACATCAGTCACCTACAACAGACATCAGTCACCTACAACAGACATCAGTCACCTACAACAGACATCAGTCACCTACAACAGACATCAGTCACCTACAACAGACATCAGTCACCTACAACAGACATCAGTCACCTACAACAGACATCAGTCACCTACAACAGACATCAGTCACCTACAACAGACATCAGTCACCTACAACAGACATCAGTCACCTACAACAGACATCAGTCACCTACAACAGACATCAGTCACCTACAACAGACATCAGTCACCTACAACAGACATCAGTCACCTACAACAGACATCAGTCACCTACAACAGACATCAGTCACCTACAACAGACATCAGTCACCTACAACAGACATCAGTCACCTACAACAGACATCAGTCACCTACAACAGATATCAGTCACCTACAACATATATCAGTTGCCTACAACAGACATCAGTCACCTACAACAGATATCAGTCAACTACAACAGATATCAGTCACCTACAACATACATCAGTCACCTACAACAGAATCAGTTGCCTACACTATGTTTGAGTATTTGATGTCTTCGGACTAGGAAAATAGCAGACATCAGTCACCCACAACAGATATCAGTCACCTACAACAGACATCAGTCACCTACAACAGAATCAGTTGCCTACACTATGTTTAAGTATTTGATGTCTTCGGACTAGGAAAATAGCATGTGTAGTTAATTTAATGTATATTTATATGTAAGTTTAAGGGCTAAGGCTATAGTACTGATACAATATTGCTAATGTTTCAAAAATCTATTAGGTCCATGTTCATTATTGAAGAATGAATAAATTTTAGCTATTTTATTCTACAAGGCTCAAGACAAGTGTTATTGATTTAACAAGATATTTATGGTTTATTTACATCTTAACTATTTCAACTCATATTCTATGAATAATGTATACATAGATAGTGTTCTGATATGATGTTTTATTTTCTGTTTGAAAGGAAACTATGAACCTCTGGATGATGATATACAAATGGCTGTTCAGTGTATTAGGGAAATGGTGGACATACGACGGTTGGCTAGACTGATATATATATCTCTATCTGATATAGGTATTATATGAAATAATTTCTATGTGAATTACAATTATATGATCTGCTAACCTCACAACGATGATAATCCCAGAGATCTAAGGCTGAGGGAAATATCTTTGATAGGTTAATAACAACTCATGTTACCCTAGAAATGTCAGTAACTGTACATGTTGTGTTATATGACATTACTTTTAGCCTATACCTGGAAAACTTGTAATTTTCGCCGCTGTTTATTCTTCGCCTTTTATCATTTTCATCAACTCATCATTACAGCGAACATTAGTAAGCAATGTAATAAACTTAGTAATTAGATGTGAAAAGCGATATTAACACTGGTCAAATTTTGATTTTAGCACGTAGGTCGGAATTTAATATTTCCTGGTACGTATTCAGTATATGCAAAATATGTTTTTACAATGTACTGTTTAGTGACTTTTTTAGTACATGCTGAATTCGAATCTTGTGAATTGAGATCTGTTTGAATTTGAATTTCTTATTTTTATACTTATTACTTTATACAGATATAAGTGTTTTTGATATTGAAATGTCTGTTTTGTCAATGCAAACAATATTCCTGGAACAGCCTAACGACACAAAAGGTTGTCTTGACCACATTATTTGAGGGGGAAGGAGAAGCTTCAAAATGAGGCTGATCAAATTGTGTTAATAGCCCTATAAATGCAAATTCTTCTGATAATGTATAATAGAGGAACTTGCAGTAGAAATGTAAATATAGTTAATAAGAAAAGGCCCCCTCTGAACTTGGTAGCGTCATTAATTGATATTGCCCATCAAGGATCAACAATGTATTGACACATTATTTTCAATATTCACTATGAAAGTACATGAATTTTCTCCTCAGGTGAGGCCAGTGAGCTCTCCCAGGCCCCTGGTCTGAATACTGTCTTGTGCCTTGACGTTTCTGACAGTATGAAAAATAAACCGCTCAAGGAACTGGTCAAATATGTAGGAAAACTCCGGGACGGTATGATGCAATTATTAGCATGAAATATTCTGTATTTGTTATAAAAAGTTACTCGTATACATAATGTAGTCTATATTAAGAGAAGAATTCTTACACTTGATGATCAACCTCCTCAAAAATGTACCTTTAATGGCAGCTAACAAAAAGTTGATATAAACATTCTTTCATTGAATTAAGCAAACAATAAACTATATTTCTTCAGAGAAAAAACAATGTTGAGAATTGTACCTAATGAAGGTTGAGTAGTTTTGGAAGTGTACCTAATGAAAGTTGAGTAGTTTAGGAAGTGTACATAATGAAGGTTGAGTAGTTTAGGAAGTGTACCTAATGAAGATTGAGTAGTTTATAGGAAGTGTACCTAATGAAGGTTGAGTAGTTTAGGAAGTGTACCTAATGAAGGTTGAGTAGTTTATAGGAAGTGTACCTAATGAAGGTTGAGTAGTTTAGGTATTGCACCTAATGAAGGTTGAGTAGTTTATAGGAAGTGTACCTAATGAAGGTTAAGTAGTTTAGGAAGTGTACCTAATGAAGGTTGAGTAGTTTATAGGAAGTATACCTAATGAAGGTTGAGTAGTTTAGGAAGTGTACATAATGAAGGTTGAATAGTTTATAGGAAGTGTACCTAATGAAGGTTGAGTAGTTTACTTGTTATAATCTTTCTTTTATCAGAAATTGAAGACAATACAGACATTTCTCTGGAAGAAAATGTTGGAGTGGTCCAGTTTGGGGGTGATGTGAAAATAAAACTATTGCCAACCAATGATTACCAACGATTGGAAGGTATGTATTGATATAACTCTCACCAGCCAACAGTTATCAAAGCTAGAAGTTATGTACGATTATGACTCTCACCGACCAACAACTATCAAACTAAATAGTTACATACATGTATAACTTGCCAAACAACTGTTTAAAAACTTAGAATGTACATGTACAATTGATCGCTCTCACCAACCATCCATTGTTAATACTCAGAAGATATCCTTTTTGTGCTGATATTGTGTAGCAAGAGTTGTAGTTGTTAGCTTACCATACACAAAGTTTCAGTCATTGTCAGTCCTTATTCCATTTTCTTGCATAATAGACCCAGATATCCGCATTTCCGGCGGTGCTGGAAAATTCTATCCGAACCACGGGTGTGGATCGCTTTCAGGGTCATTGACGTCATTAAAAATTGCCTCCAGACTTCATATGCAAAATGAGAAATATGCGGACAGTTTACAACTTTACTAGAAGAACAGCAGTTTTTACAGGTTTTAGGTAATAAGCAAGAAATATAATCCATTCCTGATGTGAGGTATGGATAAGGTAATTCAAACCCTCGCATAAAATATTGAGCAAAAGACCCTCGGCTCTCCTGCTCAATATTACCCCTTGGGTTTGAATGACCTTATCTATACCTAACATCAGGGATGGATTCTTTTAGTCCATTTGACTGATTATTATATGTTGGTGTTTTTTTTTTTGGTTTTAATAGCAGAACAATGAAGCTTAAAGGTAATACTTTTTTAAAAACCTAACCAGCTTTCAATATCATATTATTGGTTAATTGTGTAAAAAATGAAAAAAAATAAGGCACGTACATATGTCCATATGTTGAATGTCTGTCACATGACTTGTAGGTACTATATAATGTCCGTTACATGACAGGAATGTACTATATAATGTCCGTCACATGACAGGTATGTTTTACATAATGTCTGTCACATGACATGTAGGTACTATATAATGTCTGTCACATGACAGGTATGTACTATATAATGTCCGTCACATGACAGGTATGTACTA